GTCTGAAGTCGCGTCTTTTGCTCTATTCACTGTTTATTTTGAACATATCGCACTGACTTCGAGTTCCCTCTAGAGAAAATTTCGCCAACGCAGAAATTGTCCCGTGAGTATTTCATCTGATGATTCGACGTCTATACCCAGCAGGACATGTATCAAAAGTCACAAATTCTACTCCACTTTCGGAGTAATTCAAATGCCTAAATGCAAAGTTTCAGCTTTTGTGTGGTGTGAAAGAACTCGTTACATAACCCAGACGTATAAAACTGAATATAGAATGGAGTTTTGATAGTGGTAATATTAAACAAACTAAACTGCATATTAGATATTACAATATGTGCCTTGAAAAAGCCATGTAGCTGCCGATTTTTCGCGCCGGATACTATATATATCGTAAAAAGTGTTATATTTTGGCATTGTCGTGAACCGCTTGAGACATTAAAAGTTAACATTTAGTTAAGAACTGTTAGTCGGATTTTTCAAACTTCAAACACCTTAAGCACACAATTTGAGTAACTTTAATTAAGCCAACAATGCCAGTGTGCTATTTTTAAGAGTATTTAGGGAAGAACGGAAATCTATCCATCTAAATTTTAGTACCAAACAGCCTAAACTGACCCTCGTTAAATCACCATAGATGAGCGATGGGGCACGCGGCCATTGATGACTATTACCCAGATTGGATTTCACTTTCTACTTGACTAGGTAATCCAGGTGCGCTCAGCCGGGCAGTTCATCGACGGTGGTTTGTAGGTTTCCTACGTAAACATTGTTCTGTTCTAAGAAACATCAGGATACATATTTATTATTTTTGTGGTTTAAGTGGCATAATGTAAAGAATTTAGTCCCAGCGTAACAAAATTCAATGACGTACCATGTTTATTTTCTACCTTTTATAAATTGATATCACATTCTATAAGCGCCGTAAGGCTGGGGCAAGTCTACATATCTCAGGCCTTCTTTTTTCAATGACACCGTCAGCCATTACCTATATGATCATCGGATTTCTGTTTTTGTCGGTTTGGTATTGAATACGCTTGTGGGTAAGTTTGTGTCATCAGTTTTCTTAATTTGATCGTCAAGAGTGTTATTGAAAGCTTTCATATTGTCGAGAGTAATTATTTTTAATTATAATAAGTATATTAGAAAAACGTCACAATTTTTTTATGGTTCTGATCGAGCAAATTCCAAAACAACACATGATCTCCGTTAGGTCGCGTTAGATCTCCGCGCAATGGTGCTCGATTTTTCGAGAGAATCGTCGTCAAAGAAGTTCTGTAAAAAATTCTCTCGAATATTATTGAATATTTTTTTCTTTCGCTTGACCAATAGTCAACATGGATGACGAATTTCATTTTTACATCATAGTCCGAAGTACTAAAAAGAAAAAAAATACGTTTTCTTGTAAGGGGGTGTAAATGTCAAGAAACCCTTGTTTTATTCACAGACATGAATTCGTTGTCGACAGGGTTGTTTCTGTATGACAAAAGGAGAGTGTGAAGCGCGCTATATCTCGCCCTATGTTGGAGATAGTGGAAAATATTACTCCTGTTAATTTGCGTTTATACGTACGTAATAAGAAAATTAAATAAATTGTTCACCGTCACATACTGGCTCACGATTATTTCCAAATATAGAAAAGTTGGTTTATTTCGGCTTCATTTTTGTCTTCAATTGTGGCATATGAAGGCATAATAGCAACCTTTGCACGCTTTGTTTATTATCGTAAGAATGTTATCAGAAAATTCTCGATGATCGCGAAAGTCTGTCATGCGACGGAATCATTATATTTGATTAAACTCATCTCTGTTAAAAATTAGTTCTCATTGTTTGAGGCCTTATTATCTTTTCGTGGTAATTATGGGATTTTTTTTACTTATTCGGTAAAGACCTTTTACTTCGTTTTATCGTTTACTTTCTATTTTACAAGGTGCCGTAGTATGTGAACGGCAACGGCATTCGAAAATCAGATTCGGCAACACTATTACATAGCCCACCACACAAATTAACATGTCACGGATACGTTCGAAGCGTCGCTTCCTTTACGATGGCGTCTGTTTTATAACTGGCGACGCACCGGTACCTGAGTTTCCCGCTAATGTCGCAAAAAGTGCGCTCGCTGCCCGAAATGATCAATTGTGTTGTTGACGCCGCATAAGATAGGTGATATTATTCTCTCTAAAATGCATTTTTGATTTATAAATTTGACTATTTTCTGTTACTAAATGCTTTGATATTCTCAGAATATATTTAGCAATGATTTGACGAATAGTTTATTTTTCATAGCAATCGATTACGCCACGGAAGAAAATAGGTCCTCGGTTTATTCATGCGGTGGGATCGTACGCCGTTTTGAGAAGTCTCAATGAGAGAAATCGAGAAATATTGAATTAAAATTTCCACGTATTGTCCTATTCGACATAATATGTCGAAGGTCGAGATGGATAATCCAATTTCACCGAAGTTAGAGAAGTTAGTCGACGCCGGTGAGAGAGAAACGTCAGCGTTTTGTGCGAAAGACGAAATCGGATTTGGATGGCCAGAATCTTTTGCATTCATATCTGCTGTGTACAGCGGATAACCAGTGTAGAGACGTTAGAACACGTGTGTCTGGAATAAAAGACTACATGTTGAGACTTTGTAGTGAGAGTCCTGCTTGCAGACAATTTTTTTTTTACTATAAACAAAAAATTACAACGGGAAAGGTGTCTTCGTGATTAAGATAGAATATTAGTTTAGCTTAGTTTAATGTTATATAAAATATTTATGAATGAAGGAGGCCGCTTTTGTAGTTTTTCTTTATTCATGAATTTTGTTTAGGATTATTTTCAGAATTACTGATATGTTTCTAATTTTTAAACCCATTACGTATGCGAGCAACGAACGTGAATTTTCTTTTGATATTAGGTCATATTGGTTATTAGCACCGTCAAATATTCAACCGAACAAAGTGTATTTTGTAAATATAGCTATAAAATATTAGAGGAATGTTCACGATATTTATCCACTATTTTTGAATCATACAATATTTACATTTTACCTAATGATTTTTCCACTTTCCCTAATAATTTTGCCTGAAACGAAGAATATTTCATTGTACCACTTTCACGAGTAGCTATAGGATTATTTTGGTCACAAAAAGGTCACTGACCCTACATAATATCTCACCCCAAAATCTAATCGAACGTATGGCGCCATTACGTTCGTTGATTCTCCGCCCATCGATTACTTTTTCAGAAGAATAACAATTATTTCCAAAACTAGTTTCCTCCTATCTTCCCCACCTTGCCCAAAAACTAAACCGCGGCAGCAACCTTTTTAGTCACTAAATAAAATGGAAGTTTTAGAGAAAATAATAGATCAGTTTTTGGTATAATATAAATCATATTACCATTTATGCTTGAGATATATATTCGGTCAGCTATTGTGGTGAAAAGTTATGGAAAGTTTGGGCGATCGAGCCCACAAAACGCAAGGTAAATATACTATTTCCGAGGTCCATTGTCCTTCGACTGTTTAACCCGGGTCGTAATACGTGCCTATGCCATTTTACTGGCAAACATGCCAAACAATATACTGCTCGCACGGAACAGTTCTTCTTGTTGTCTGTCACATATCACCCGAATTAAAGTACGTCATTGGCCGATGATGACGCATATATACTGGCCGATGCATTTGCCAAGTATATATCTATTTGTCTAAAATTAGTAGTTAATGGCAATGCATTCGAAAGATCAATGTAACATAAGTACTTTCATTATCAAGTTGGTGGGTAATTTGTTGTTGTTAAATGAAAGTGCACGATGTTACACATAAACGGTAAAACAAATCACAATTTAAGAATTAATATTTTATTCATCCGAAGTGAGTTGTGTCGTGCCTATTTTTTTTATAGTTATCACTAGATTTAGTGCGTTGTTGAATTAGAATGATTATTTGAGTTTCAAGTGATGTATTTAAAGGCTGTGGTAACAGCAATTTGCGGCAGCAAAATGCCTTCAGCGGTCATCGGGTCAGTTTGTCGGCGGCCAGAGCTTTGAAGCTTTACTATGCCTGAACAATTTCCCGTTTTCGACCGTCGTTCACAATTTTGCTGCAGTTTATGACTGTTTACACGACTGTGTGTTAAACTTAACGGCGTTAAAGTATACAGGTCCATCCTAGCTCCGAGCGCCCATTGAACACATAGATTCAGCTCGATAAGGCTATAAACCATCGAGCGATAGTCACAAAACGATCGACACAAACGGTCATAACTCGGGAATTGCGGAACCGTTTCGCGATCAATTTAAGCGCTTGTAAAACGCCGGGGTGCCCTCATGTCCAGCTTGTTAACTTTATGCGCTTATTTAAATTTAATGGCCGTACCTTTTGTCACTCTTTTGGCCGTTAAAATTTGCAAACCGAGCATTGTCGCAGCCATTTTGTCGCTTTCGAGTGAGCGAGCGATCGATGTGGTGAAGGTAGCAGAAAAAGTCGCCGCGAACAAGTCGAGAACAAAATCGGAGAGAATTATATCAGTAGCTGCAATGGTTTCTCAGAACAGTCTAAAAATGTAAGGGTAATAAATAGTGATATAAATATAAAGCGGAACGCATTCTGTATACATATTTTAATGATTACTATAATATTTTTTTGAAATATTTTCAGTTTATGAAATAAATTTTTTTTCTTGAGAATTGGAAGATATAAATAGCATTTATTCCCATATTGTATGATTACAAGTCATCTGTGCCATTTCAATTAACATTCACGAAGCCAAAAAAATGATTCTATGAAGTTTCTATGATAACAAATTACTCAATTACTTTTTATGTTGTTGCTGACTTTTCATCCGATAAGTTATAACAGAAACAGAAGTATTTCTTATCCGCTCTATTGGATAACACTACTTGCGAGTGGGAAGTTCAAGAAATGTGATTTTTGTCAGAGAATTCAGATACTGATATTGAGCAAAAATTGTACCAACAGTGCTCTAAATTTCAATATAATTACTTTTCAGTTATTTAAATTCATAGCCATTTAATACATAGTTCATTTGTATAAACAGCGAAGAGCCTGGATTAAATTGACACTCATGACTGCAAAAGACAGCTAAGAAGAAAAAAACAAAAGAATTAGTGCCTAAAACTTATCTTGAATCGAGAAAATCTTCTAACTTTTTAAATTGTTAAAGCTGCTTGTAGCAAGCAGCACCTACAAAGGCAAGATTACTTCCACGTTTTCTACCTTAACCGGCAAGATTCTTCCCCTTTCATTCCAAACGGAAAAGACGGATCTACAAGGGGAAGAAATCTACGATTTCGAGGATCCCCACATCGACAAACTGGCGGTCGGAAGTTTGTGCGAAATGGGCGACCCGAGCCAAAACGGCCACGGATGTAACATGAATTGTGCCGTGGGTAAGTGCTTTCTTCTCCGGTAGGATTTCTAATATGCGCCGACCTTTGTGTTCCTGTAATATTATATTAGTTTTTTCCATGTAGTATGCGAGTTATGGTTTGTGTAAACTTCGTTGTGAACGCACTGATTTTTTTCTCATATTAAATCATAACCTCAGAGGTTATGTGCAAACTTTGCTACTCAGAGGACTCGTTTGATCAAACTTCTAAAAATACCGACAGTCGAACATACTTTATTAGTAAAAGCAGAACAATTTCAGTTATGAGAATGAGTTGATACGGGAATACCATCTAAGAGTTCAATACAAAAATGATATTGAAGTTTGCTTTAAATTTAAAAGCATTTCGGAATTAAATAATTTAATCTCACAAAAAATCAAACAATAAATAATCAAGCAAGAATGATACACTCATATTCGATCATGGTTAAATAGGAGATTATATTTAAGACTTGAGTGGAATATGGTAAATAAATTTGGTATTTTCACAATCATAAATAAAGGCCCGATTCCTTTTTCTACTCTTTGACTGGTTATAATACTGTTGTATGTTGTCAAAGTTTTTTGGGAAATACCTATTTTCTTCTTTTCAATTATTTCTATTTGTCAACAGATTACATAAAATGGCAAATAAATTCAATTCTTTTATGAAAATATTTCTATCGCATTCTATAAATGAAATCTAAATCGAAAAAAGTGTTGCGAATTTCCGTAAAACAGAATTAAATTTCTTTTTAAAGCACAAATAACTACTTTAGTTGACCACTAAAATCTCAAGTCACCTGGGATAAATTTTTCCAAGTCCTGTTACAATTCAAATTAGATTTACCGAAATAAAATGGGGATGCATTTTTACCCCTTGTAAAATGATCATTTTATTGTAGGAAAAAGAAATCACAGAAAATTGCATTTCAATCGAATTTTTTATTTAGTGTTTTAGTTTAAATTTCTCCTGGTGGAAATTGCTTGTCCATTCCAAAATAAACAAACAAACAATCAATTGCAAATGTTTGCAGCTGGTGCGCCAAAATAAAATCTATCCACAGTAACAGTAAATTTAAAATTAAACATAATTGAAATTGATGTAAAGATGTTTGAGATTACTAGCCTAAAGTTATCCAAATGCAAAAGTTGAACAATGGCAATATCTATAGTAGTCTAATTTGGACCTCGGACGAAGGGTGCCATTGAAAGACTTGATCGGATATCGCAAACGGATGTTGAAGGTGTATCTAACAAGTCATGTATGAGTGAATATATAAACAACATCAACAATATGTTTATACACTATTATGACTACAAATTACTGATTTTTCTTTCCATGAACTGCAATAAATTTGCTATTTATTTAATAAGTAAGGTATCGCTGCGTGTAGTAAAGTAAGCGTGCGACGCGGTGCGGAATTTGGAACGTCTTGATAAATTTTTTATCCGTTTTATGCCCCTTGAGTCCCGTTAGCGTATTCGAGGTCTCTATTGCCGTAATAAAACTGAACGGTGTGTGTATAGCGTATTTTGGTGTCATAATAAACCGACAAAAATCGACAGTGTGCATCTCCGGCTGTTTATAAATAAGGCAACTGTTTACGCAAGTAGCCTGAATAAATTATTCAGTGTTGCAACGCTACCGGCATTTGCATATTCCATCTATACATGTGAAATATAATTCGTTGCTATCTGCGATAAAACCTAAAATATGTTTACGGTATTCCAGAATGTTTGCGGTTGCTCGCGATTTTGGTTTCAGCGACAACAATTTTTGAATAATCATAAAATACTATATACTAGGAATCCTTTTCAAAAATACCACGACGCCATTCAATCACCGCTTCGGATTTAGGATTTGCAGATTGTCCTGATGTATGAGTTATAGTTATAGTTACAAACACGATATATTCTGTCAAAAAATATCAAGCGATCTTATGCACATTATGCATTTAACCGTAGTTTCTGCTCGTCAACTTTCCCAGTTAGTGTTCATTATGACGAAAACGAAACAGCAGCCCAAATAAATACCACGCTTTATCTTAAATTTATTCATAATTGTCATTCTGGTATTATATTTCATATATTTTATTCAAATTATTGTCATCTTTTCTGATGTTCATCGGGCAATAAAATTCTCTGCAAGCGGTGATAAAAATACTGCGCAAATATTACATCAAAATTATAAAAATCAATATATTCATCATAACATGAGTGCGCACGGTTAAATCATAGGAATGAGAATGAAATTTGTCGAAAATTATTGCGATTAACTGGCCCCCAAGTAAAGAACCTGTATGTGAATAATATTGTCTCAATACTATATAAGGTTTGATATAATTCGAACTTTCAATAATCAAATATTTTAAGTTGATAAACATATGTATATTCGTACGCGTACATTCGATAAGCGCATTTTATGATTTTTATAAATTGGTGTCGTGTTTCTTGTACCCGTCTGCTGGTGGCAAGTGATAGCTTTAAATTATTGGCCCGTGACGCCCTTTGACCCATGCGCCGTTGATATCACGTTGTGTTTCTGATGAGAAATTTGACATTGAGATACGGTAATTTTAAAAACGATCAGGCAAGCTCTAGAATCAATAAATAATGATCAGGAGAAATTTGGCAAATTTATAGCTGAAGAAATAAACAAAGCACAAAAATAGTTGCAATCTGAAATTTGTCGTCTGCTGAAACGTTGACGTGGCGACGTAATATTAAAATTTATGAACCCAGTTTATATATAAAATGAATTAATTTTTTTTTGCTACTTTTTTCTATAAAATCATAATTCTGCAATCATCCTGAAAGTGTATACCAATTCGCCTGATAAAATTGCGACAAGTCATGCTACATTAAAAGTTTTTTATACTTTCCAGCAAATGACTCCATTTTTGAGTTATTTTTGTACACGGCCAAGAAATTCATACTTATTTAAATTCGGTAACGTCGCAAAAACAATGTTACCCTTTTCGTTTATGAATATTGAACAAAAATTTACGTCCGGAGAAAGGTTCCGTTCGTGCGGCACCGTTACAATGCTCGACGAAAATAGTAACTCAGAGGAACAACAAAATGGCGGATGGATTTGTGCACCTTTATTAGTTAAACGTGAGTACGGTGAGTCGATAAACAAACAGGTGCCGCAACTCTGTCGCTAGCCTTCAGGCTTACACAAGAGCAGTAAGCAGTGTCATGCAACATGTTGTTTGGTTCTTCACCCAGTCAGTCTCGCTTCGGAACATAATATTTTTGTGATTCAGTCGAGACATACATAACCAATGTGACATATCTGAAACCTCTATTATTACGACAGATACTTTCTTTGACCAAGAGGTCATGCTATTCATGATTAATTTATAATATCAATTGCGCAAAATTAACACATTTTTGCCTACAGTTTACATTGTGGTATTTAGGTATATGCATTTTTTATTGGAAATTTTAAGATCCCCAGCTGCTCGCTCGCTTGTATATACGGAAAAAAAATTTGTCGTCATATCAAAACTCAAGTACTAACTCCATTTCTGAGTTTTGTATAACAAACTTGAAAACACTGTCAATGATAACTTTGAACATATCTAAAGACTTTGTGTTTTCAGTCTCCGACTAAGACATGTTTGTGATTGTTCGGGGCGTTGTTTTATCTCGTGTTGCGAATACTTTCTATTTTCTTAAGAGTGCGCTAACTACGTACACATGTGACGTCATAAGTTGTTGCTTGAGCTGTTCATTCCAGACTTGTATAAAGCTTTCGAAACTATACTTGTATCTCATGGTAATACGACTAAAATAATACTGTAAAAATAGGTTGCTTTTGCATTACAGTAGTGCTGTGTATCAGTCCACTGATTTTTAGTTCGTGAAGGGATACGCGTTTCTCAAAGTTACGGTAGATACCGCACTCGGTATTAATTTGTATTTTCTATCTTTTTTTATTGTATCATTGAAATTGATTACAAATGCCATGTTATTTTTTCACCTGAAGGTGGTATGTGAATATTCGAAGTTTTCCTCCCGTTTCGAGCTATGCAAAAATTTGGTTTTCAATGTAAATCATTGTTTAATCAGAACACAAGATTTGGCCGCAGAGCGTCTTGGTGTATGAATTATGATAATAAAACAAATGATTCAGACGGAAGCTGTATGTTGATGGAAATTCATTCGACCCTAACTGGATTCTATCTATACCAACAAAAAACACAAGCACAGAATATAATAACACAAGACCATGTACCAAACACATTGTGTACATAACAGCTTATATGAAGCGAACACCACCCTGGTACACGGTACGGATTTAGACCTGCGTTGTTTTTGTTACCGATAAGCCTAGGTGTTAAAGATTATTATACATACATAGTATTATTGTCTGCTCGGACAACTGAAGCACGCGCATTCCGATCGTAGCTGTAAGATTTTTCGTTTCAAGCTATCCTGCGGAATAGAGTTGTACGACTTCTTTGGCCTCGTTTATGTCTTGTGTCAAATAATTTAAGCAAATAAAATAATTATAAAAGCGTTGAATCCTATCGAATATGGTGTTTGATTGTCCCAAATGGCAGCCCCATTTCATTTTCAACATGCGCCGGTCGAAATCCCGCGCAATATGGAATTCAACCGCTTGAAAATTTAAATGCTTGTTTGGTATATTGTCTTTTATATTATAAAACATGCTTGGACTGTCATAATAACCTCTCCAAATAAAATCGAGTTGGGTGTGAAAATCAAAAAGAAAATCCGACAATAAAACTATTTGGATCATTTCATAACAAAAGAGCTTGTTTTCTTTGTAAAGGCAGTTTTCCATATGTATGCAAAAGGTAATACGTTTGTTTGTATCGATGTTGTTTGTTAAAATCATTATAGAATGTGTGCGAATGGATATGTGGTCACTTTTACCTTACCCTATTGGAAGCAATAAAAATATTCAGCGATTTTACTGTCATATGCTAGTCATTGTAACTACTATTATGCGGCTCTTACTAAACACGACTGTGGTCGATTTAATTCTGCATTTCATATTGAACACTCGTGCGTTTATTAATATTCAACTTCTATATATGTGTGTACATTACAATGAATATGGCTGACTTCGCCTGGAAATAATTATTACCTCTTCAAAAATCTTCAATGTGCGTAATTATTTGTCGTGGATATTAAATAATAAAATTGTGAATTTTGTAAATTACGGAACGCTGGTACATCGAATTGAATATGTCACATCCATGTACAAAACTTCCAAACGGCGCGTCTCAGCAAGTTTGGAAATTTTCGGAATCGGAGTTTTCAACATTATACACTCGAATCAAATTCAATATAATAGGAGCGTTACTATTCGAACAATAACACTTTTTTAAATTAGTCTGAACTGTGAAATTCCAGAAACGAATGTCGAATCGGTCACTGAATTTAAAATTGTTGAATATGATTTTGAAAAGCCGGCACGCAAAGTTTCTCTTCCATAAAATAATTATGGTAAAAAGTATATTATTCTAAGCCAAACACGACAGTTTTTCCTAACCTGCTATAATTGCACGCTATTGATGTCAAGTTTTGTAATTCAAAGTAGGAAAGTTACTTGAAAATTTTTCCAAGCGCAAAAGAGATGTCAAGTACCCCAACCTTTTGCTTAAAAATTCATTCAGGCGATTGCGGATAGTTTGCAAGTGAGCGTGTCAACACACCCGCTTCATAGCACGAGCAATCTCTCATTCCAGTCGACACCTGACTTTCTTCATCCTAATTATTGACAATAAGCCTTTGGGAGGAACATAAAGTCATATGCTGTACTTGGAAGTCACTTGATGTCTCTTTAAAGGATTTCAAAGGGAGAATTTTGTATTTTGGATAGTAGTGCTCTTTCGAATTTTTCTGAGCAACTTTAAAAATATCCTTTATCAAACTATGATCTCTACTCTTTCTCAGCTTCTTATATGAGAGAATTTCCTCAACGTTTATTCCTGTATTTGACTTGCTGCGTAGGTTGAGAGTGAATCAACAAATGGTGGAACTAAAAACGTCATTGAACCTCAACCAATGTGTATTTTTTAGGGTTTGTGAAATATTATAGTCAACATTCACCATTTTCTTACGTTCCTCATAATTTAATCAAACACCTATTTGCTATCTTTCAAAGTTCAAAAATATGATTCACTAAAATCATTGGAATAATGTTGTTCTATCGCTATCAGGTTTGACTTCTCCCTCGAAATAAAAACGTCGCTGTGATACACTATTATTTAAAAATGATTTGTATCCGAAATTAGTGTTGGAGACCAAGTTAAACCTAAACTATACTGCACCATATGTTATAATAATTATTTGTGTAATAACTGTAAATTAGAAAATATGGTAATTGTTGTTTATAAACCGAACCCGAACATAGTCTCGATAGACCATTGGTATATGCCTAAAACATCTCGTATATATCTAATACTCACCAAGTCAGTTAGCTTCAATTTATTCTCTACATACATGTTTAAGTGTCATAAGTGTGATTTTAAGTCAAAACACGGCCTCATTGTTAACATACCTCGTTCGTTTTGTTCGTTAGGACGTACTTGTAACAAAAAACACCGCCACCGCAAACGTGATAAACGGAAAATTGGTATTAGGTGTGTTTTGCTTACCGTTTTATGATGTTTAGTTGCGGACCAGTTAGGATAATAATAACAAAGTATTATTCTATAACCCCAGAAGGCGTTGAAAGTTTCCTCAGACTGGTGAAAATCTTTTGGCTAAACTGTAAAAAATAACAAATATTTCGGCTTGGCCGTCGCAGGAGTTCAGTTTAGCACGATAATACGAGGTTGGCAAAAAATTTCCCTTCGTTATTCACACTTTCTCATATTGAAACCGGTCTAAGCTTTTCTAACTAACCAGAATACTATTTGACAATTCACCACTATTCTCATTAAATTTATTCATAATGAATCCAGCGTATATATATATGATTTATTTAAGTGGGTGGATAGATTTCCATACATCAAGACTATGTTGCACAGTGGGTCATTGCAAAATATTCTTAACTTAAACATAACCTAAAATACTTTGAAGAATTTAATGTCAACTATTAAGATATCAGAAATTTCTAAGTAAAAACCCAGTTTTCTACATTTATATATTTATATCTACCATCTCATGTCGTTATTTGAGTTACCGGGTGATATTGCGTCATTGTAGCCAATTTTGTCTATTTATATCTAATTCCAAATCTGCTAGTTTAAGTAATATATTAGCATTTGTATTCAACATGTTTGTTCAAAAAGGTCCCCTGTCGTCAAACTTTCAGATTTGACGTTACTGGTCGTCTTCGCAAATATTTGAATCGTTCAGGAATTCTTAAATTTGTTTGCATTTTCTAACGAAAAGTGCGCAATACACAATACAGTCTCCGATCGGATTTCCTATTTTCTTTGCCTTTTCCTATCTTTTGTACAATATAATATGTGCAAAATAAATACACAAACTGTCGCAACGCGCAGTTTGATCAGAACCACTCGCCCGAATGTTTACGCCCCGTCGGTCTTTCTTGTACCCGTACGCCTATTTGAGTTTTGGGGACAGAATATCGAAAACCTAAAAATCGATTTCACGCTTTGTTAATTTCATCTTAATTATATTAAATTTCAATTCGACGACATGAATGTTTTTATATTTAATGTCAAATTATTCCGTTGTCCCTATAGGCTTTGAGCTCAACTGATTCTCGTTCGCACGGTTCAGTTATTCAATATAAACAAGCCGTTTGCCCCTACCATTGAAATATTTGTATATGTGAACAATGACAATAACAATAAAATGCTAGTTAATACGATGCTTTTGAAAAACAGTTGCATCAAATTAATAGTTGATAATATTTTATATTTTTCAGATCCAAACAGGATACCCCTATGTGTGGGATGTGGCACCCCCATTCACGACCAATATATTCTCAGAGTAGCACCAAATCTAGAATGGCATGCTGGATGTCTAAAATGTACGGATTGCGGCCAGCATCTCGATGAAACCAGGACGTGCTTTGTTAGAGACGGAAAAACATATTGCAAACAAGATTATATAATGTGAGTAGCTATTTTCAATATTTCACTCGTGTCGTAGCCTGCAGTAAAGGACAATAAAAATATGGATGTACGGTTTGAAACATTGTTCAAAAATTAAAACAAAATTCAGAGTAATATGAGTTTGTCTCTTCATCAAAATGTCTAGAGGTCAATCAGCAAGGTCCATGTCTACGCCGAACAAGGCTTTAATTTGATAGGTATAGTGCCGATAACTGATAAAAACCACAACGATGCATTGTTTTTATGTTTGGGTGCCATATATTGATATACTCTACGTAAAAAATTAATCAAAAGATGAAAGTTAACGAATTATGTAGCGATTTATTTTATATGCTGTATCCTTATATTTCATGTTTTACGCATTTCTTCTCGTTCAGATTGCTTTTTCGGTCTAGAGATACGGTTAAAAATGCAAAACAAAACGATTACATCAGTGTTAAAGTTTTGAAAATATGACTTTATTTAAACAACAGTATTTCAATCAAAATATGGGCTGGCAGGAGCCTATCTCGATGATATATTGTGTGACTAAAACAGATAGATAGCTTGATAAATATTTCACTATTACCCTGCTAATTGCTGATTTGGCTTTAATGAGCAAAAAAAATTGCAGAAAAATTCGTCCAAATTCCTTATCGCCAGACAAATCTTAAGGTTAGCTAGAAATATGATTGAAAATGGCGTTTAAGTTTGGACGAAATTTAAGCTACCGGGTAGTTATAATCTGCGTAGTGCCACTGGAGATTAGGAAAACTGAACGTATATGATGGTATTTTTCAAATTATACAATAAGTCGTGTAAAAAATATTAATCATATGAGCTGATAACAGCCAGCTGGGGGAGAGATAGAATCTAATTCATATCCCGAAAAATTGATTGAAAATGTTGGGCATATAGGAAATGCTTTTTGTTCTAAATATAAAAATAAAAATGGCTGATGTTCAAATCAGCACTTGTAGTTGAATACTAATATATCAGGTTTAATAAAACTCCATACGCTTTGTCACAAGCAGCTAAGATGAAGGGATGGATAAATTTTCCATACGACATCCGTTGAGATCGTCTCAATGTATTTCACCTTTCGCCACGCTGTAACCGGCACCAAGCCGTTCTTTCCGATTTAGGTATCAACTGTTGCGCGCTTGAATTATAGCCGTTTTTTTAATTTGAAAGTTCAAATTTAAATTTAAACTGTTTTTATTGACGCTATAATTTTACACTTGCGACATCGAGCCTTTTTGTCGCGCTAAATTAAAATTGGATCGGATATCAAGTGTTAGGTCACAATGAAAACAAACATAGAAATTTCATTTGGTGATATATACTACTCTCACAAATATAATCTGTCAAGACTCAAGATAATGGGAATATGGAAAAAACTATTGAACTTGATTGGAATCTATCGCATGGAGAACGATTTAAATTTTTCGTATATGGCGTCTCGTTGATTTTAATGTTGTTTTCAAACTAGATGTAAATTTGTACGTCACTACGGTCCTTAATTCTGCCAGATTTGCAAAATAGTTTATGTGGGTACGTTTTAAAAATTTCATGTACGAGATATGAAAAATCAATGCAAATTATCGACCCGTGCCGCAAAACTTTGAGCCTGTCCGAGCGTAAAGCATATGGTCAACTGAGCTAGTTCGGCGGCGCAGGATTAGCCCGCATTAGCATATGTCCGAGCGATTAGCTACTAAGTAGGAAAAGATTACGTTTTCCAGTACAAAGTTTTACAACATATTGTTTTTAAACCATGACATAACTAAAATGGAATAGTAATCAAGGAAATACAAATTGATTATTGATTGAATGTTGTTGCATATTCATGCAATAAGTAACTTTGTGTTTAGTTTTTAAGTTTTCCGCTTTTTACGGTACAGTCACGGTATTAGCGCTTAATCACCAAAAGAAGGAAGATTTGTGTAGGTCGATTTCCTTTCGGCTTGTTTTAAAACTTGTTTGTTCAATCAATCAATTCCTGGGCGAAGAAGTTAAACAATAATAGTCAGGGGTATCTAAAAATCGAGTTTGAATTATTGATATATAAAATCCTGTTTTCCTAAGAATGTAAATAAACGAAAACATTTTGTAATGTTTGCCAATTTTGCACCGGAATTATAATATAAATTGTATGGAACCAAAATTTGGTATATATACAGTATCATAATTTCGACAAAAATTATAACCAATTGATTTGTTTGGAATCATAAATGTCAGAAATAAATCTAATGCCAAAGACAAATTCAATATCGTGCGTGCAATGGAAAAAGTTTCATGTTTTTTGAAAAAATACATACCGGTATTATTAATTTATTCTGTAGCTAAAACGACTTTTGACAATTTCAAGTAAGAGGGATATTATAACGATTCGAAGTAATAAATGAGTACTGTAATGCACCGCATACGATTGAACAGTATAAAAAAAACTTAAAATTATATTTAATAAATTATAAACAAAATAATTGTAATGTGATTAGGAATTCCGTTTGAAACAATTTAATTATTCTCAAAATTACCGGAACCACATTTAACGATAAGAAAAGAAAGTGTTGAACGGCTTTTGTTATCTGTATGTATATATTGTTTAAGCCACACATTCTTTAAAGTGTCCGACTTTACAGCATCAAAGGCAAAATTACATGACTTTTTTCGTGTGTCTTTGCCAGAAACATTGTTTTTTTTTTATCTTATATCTGATAGAAAGACCAATTTTGGGTACAATATTTGAACATACAAACGAGCGGTGCTCCTATGGATATTTTTATCATGGTTTAGGCTCGATAGTGCATGGGTTTAACAACAATTTAATATAAAGAAATTGTTCTTTTCTCCTGGATGTACGGTTTACAGTTGTGGCTCTATGATTGTGATGGCAAAATTTTTTGTTTATTTTCCTTTTTCATATCATAGATTCTTTGCAATAACGATACTCAACTTGAAAGTCAAAGGTGTTCATGCTCTGCAGCTTCCTATTTTTTCAACTTAATTTGAACCAGCCATTTTGTTTTGGTAGGAGTTGTTAGCACTGGGAATATCCGGGTTTTAGTACTATAAATTGGGATTTTTTTTAGCGATATGTTTCGTATTGTTAATTTTTTTATTATTTTACATTTCATCCCGAACAGGTATCAGCAAGTAAGCCAGTAAAATATTTTTTCTTTTCTTTGAAAAATACTCTTTTATGTGAATGCTTTTTTTAATAATACCACGTTTAAAATATTGTTATAGATATTTTGGATATTTTCAGATAGAAATTTAATAGTTCAGTTTGCATAAATCTTCAAATTGCATGCTTAACATGCTTTCGATCCTTAAGATTAATTGCTAAAAATGTGACGCGGAAGAAGTTGTCTTTACCCAAGAATAAAATAAAGCCTCAGCCTTGAAAACAGCAGTGCGCTTCTGGTTCTTAATTTTATGACATTTTTTTCTGTGTTTGTGTAACTGTGTACTAGAATTAGCATACTGTTTTTGTGTTTGGTTGACAATGCCACGAAAAATATATATATAAAACATGAGTTCATCTAACTAAATAGTAACTATCCATAAACGCGAGAGGTTCATCATTTCTCTGAAAGAATATTCTGTCTCAGGCAATAGGCTTTGAATATATGCTTCCAGTATCACAAGAACGACGCACCTGTGTTTCAATAAGCTATTCTCAATTCGTAAAAATTACAAATATGAAGCTTTTTACCCTTCTTTGAAGATGAACTTCTTTGAAGATGATAACATCGAAATTCAACATAAACAAAAATCTTTCTCAATCGTGTTCATTTCACGCACTTATCTTATCTCATATCACTTATCATACAATAATCTTGCGCCCATAAATAGCCCATAACATATTTTTAAAATATCACATAACCAGGTTATAATATTTAAAATTAGCGTAAATGAGTGGTAGATTTTCAATTATAGGAATTCTATTCAAGTAAAAGGAACAAAAGCGAACAGAATAGATTGTAGTAAAATATGTGTTGCCTATTCGGGAACGTAACGAGAGTACAGTTTGTCCCTATTGTGAACTTGATTGGCAGTTCAGGTTTTACAATTCGTAGATGTTGAAGACTTCGGAACCCCAAAGGATGAAAGACGAGTAGGGTTATTCCGTCGTTTTCGATCCTCCTCTCTTTGACGGAAAGCATAAACATACACTTTCTTCACCATAACGAAATGGATAATTTATGAGGGCCGCATTTCCCCACGGAATATCCTGCGACCGTGTGCACTGTACAGCTGTTGATCCCCTCTCGTCCTCTATCCGTCCACCGACGACACCAGATCCCATTTTTAAGCAAGCCAGTCTTTACACGGACGGGGTGTTTAGCGCATGCCTATCCGAAAAATTGACATTGACCTATAATACGACAGCTCACGTTGAATTCTCCAAATTTCTTCAAGATGAGCAAAAGGATGCAAATGCCCAAGCATGGATATTGAATACAACGAGTTCTTCGAGTTGAGTTCGTTAAAATTCAAGTTTGTTCGAGGAAGATCATTTATAAAATATAATTTGTTTACAATACGATCGATAGGACTACCGGATAAACTTGAATTTTTAATGAACGACAACATTCGCTTGACCTTACTCGCACACAATCAAATTTTCCTATCACGAATACATGACGTCATTCTTTGATTATGACTAATGTTTATAATCCTGATGTTAATGATATATACAAATATATTTATAATTCTATATTTTTACTCTCATATCTCTACAACGTAAAACCTGATCATCGAATATATTAAGCGGATATGGATAAAATTTTCAAATCTGCGGCGTGAATTTATTTCCTAACTACGATTAAACGGGCATCCGGGGACGGGTATTGAGTGAATAGGGGAAGTGTTTAATATAGTGCAGTACTATGTATTTCCCATCAAATGGCCACACTAATGATATAGTTAGACTTTGATAGCGTTATGATGATTTTCAACTATGCGACCTCAATGTGAACGGCGTTCAATTCCAACTTGCTGTTATAAAAAATGGTCTTCTCAATCAGCCTAACGGCGAATAGGATAAAGCTAAGTTGTGTGCTCCAATATACCCTTTCATTACTGATCATTCAATCCTTGAATAGCCATTTTTTTAACTGTATAAATATACCCCAGTGATATACAATGACCAGTATTATTTCTCGTTCCGTTAGCTCTTGATTTGAGCTTTTTTAACACCGTTTTCGTTGACAAGAACTTGCACACTAAAACATGCCATTGATTTTACCGTGTTTTTACAATGAGCTATATTAGAAGAAATCGGCGCCAACTTTAGGTGATGACAGCTTATTGTGTGGTCTCCTGAACCCCCAATGCGTCATTGAACTTGCGAAAAGACGAGCGCGCTGTGATCTGACTGTAATCTCCTTCAGAAGCGGTGTGAAATTTGTTGTTCTTGTGGCGTCTCTCATGATCCCGCGTTCTTTCATTTAAATGATAAGGTAAAAAAAATAACACCACGGTAAATTAGGCGTTTATTGTGGATAAATATATAGTGTAAAAGCAAGTAGACTAATATTGTAGAGTATACCCAAATGTATATCTGTCTTCATGTAAATTAGCGTCCGATTCGACGCCTTCTAAATATGTATAAATGGGGAGTTAAGCGATGCCTCTGTCATACATAAATACTATATATTCTTTTAAAATAAAAGAGGTTTTGTCCAAAACAGATACGCGAAAGAATAAACATAGACAGGGAAGCATTTTGATATCAGTTAGTGTTTGATTCATCTGTTCCGACCATTTTGGCAGCTCAGGGACATTGTGATTATATCTTGCTCACGAAGCGTAACTTGATCGACGGAACTAAGCATTTATTATTTCCTTTTGAAATAGCATGCTATTGATTTTACATTACTTGTTATATCGATTCCTCGGCCATCAACGAGCTTAATTGGCAAATTACATGAGTTGAAGGTTATTTAAAATGTAAATAAATAGTCTAGGAATCAATTACTCACGTGAATGTCACGGGTGAATGAATACCTGCCATATTTCAGAATGTATCATTCGAAATATTGATTATAAGAATATATAAATATGATCATTATAATTGGTACAGTGAACACCTACAACAAGACGTTATCTGTTAAGTTAACGACCAATCGATTGCTCGTTTCCGGGCTATAACGGAGTCGATTTCAAGTTTGCCTTTATAGCAAATTGGCGCCTGTCAAAGAGGCTTCTTTTAACAAAATATATCACGTAATGCAGCATAACGATAAAAAAATTCAACGCCAGGGGTGGCGTTTTCAAACATGCAAGGCCAAAACCAATCGCTCATCACCTATTAATTCTCCCTAATCCCTACACCCGCATTCAAACCAGATACATCGGCGCCGTCTAGGCTGAATTTCATTGGCGATACCGAATGTCATCAAATTAGTAGATTCACGGCTACGTGTGTGAAGACGTCCTGGACGATTAACGTTGTAGTACAGTCATCGAGTGTCAATAATTCTACATCATAATCATCTGAATCCTTCTTTAAAAATGTAGTCTCGACACTAGTACAATGTTTATGGTGTACGTGCTGAAAAACCTGTCAAAACAGTAGGATCATAATACACTCAAGTAAAATATAACTAGATGGCGCTAGTTGTCGTCTGAGTCGATCAAAGCACTTGTCTATCTCTGTTATCATTGACTCACATGCCGAAAACTGTGAGAAGTTTGGTTTGCAAAACCGATTTTCGCTCTTGACTCAGTGCGCGGCGAAAGATCAGGCCTTTTCGACCCGAATCATTCGATTTGAGATAGTATTTATAATCAAACTTAGCGAGTAGGGGCGATGGTTATCAGGTTTTGGGTATATCCTGCAGCTTCTATAATGGTTCTGGTGTATTGCGTAATACTTTTACTCTAGTCGTTATCAATTTTTGTTTTAATTTTAAATTTTAAGAGGTTTGCATAATCTATCTTCAAACTCAAGGTTTTGTATTTATGCCCATGTGCTCGGAGGCAATGTTTTTATTATCATTACAAAAGTTCATCAATTATCACTATTATTACCGTTTAAAATTATTCATAACGCCTACAATCTCCCGCCGCGTCCCGAGGGAAGGCTGAAAACGCGGAACGCTTTGACGAACAAGACTTGCCCGCCAACTTTTAATTAATTTTCATGTTTTACCCGGAGAAGTTTGATGAAAGCGACGGCCGCTCACCGCGACGTACATGAGAATAATAAATATGAGTATAGCCGCATTCTTTTTTTTATGAAAAATTCGATTTTCATTTATATAAAAATTCGTCGTTCAATGTAGACTTCGCCTAGTTTCTTTGGTCCACAATATAGTGCCCGAATCGAAGGAAGATGTATTTCCTGAATTGGGAATACCAACTCAAATTAGGCTAATCAAACGGCGTCTTCACTTTTACTTTTCAGTCAAGACATCGTCATTTATAACTCTACGAGTTAGTAAGATGCCTTCCCAACTTAGACCCAGCTATGGTGGTCGACTGATGTTCCAACTACAACTTTTTGTATGTTTCATACTTCCACATGATGATAGTTTAAAATAAAATATAACATAGTCACCGAATCAGGTTCTTGAAGACGCTCCATTACATTCATTAAACTATCAGTTTATTAAACATTTTCTACCGCATCCGGAAAATTACAAAAATATGAACACAATAAACAATGTGATGCTAAAAATAGTGCTTATCTGATTTCAAGTTTATTTTTTCAACGTTGCTATTCACCACAAAAATTTATCGATGCGATTGTTTCAATTTAGGATTGTTTCTTCTCTCTTGCTGCGAGAATATTTACATAAGTTGGTTTCAATTTTGTTATCTTGTAACTTACAAAACAATTGCAGTCGATCAAGTATAATCGCGACAACATTGTGATTTAAATCCCTGAAATACTTCATCGTAAATGTCAACTCAAATCATCTATTAAACGTTAATGTTATTAGATGATATGGTTGTTTCTTCATAAATTAGGTATTCATATAAATTATCGTACCTATGCTTTATCCGATCAGATTTATGTAATATAATATACAAACTTTTTTGCAACTCACAAAGAATGAATCGTACTCAGAATATCCAATGTCAGAACGTCTCTATATGTTGATCTTTTCTGCCAAGCGAAGATTTCATGTTTTTTTTTCATTCCCGTGGGAAGAAACCACAACCAAGGTTTTGCAAAATTTTGACTTTGGAAAAGTAAATCATCAGTACATATGAAGACTATTGATTTTGGATTTCAATAGTCTTTCGTTTCCAAGAAACAACTTTGCCGATGAAATTTTGGAAATCAAATGCTTTTTGCTGCTCGTCCTCAGTTTCAAATTTGAATATTTGGACAGCGTTTTCAATAATTTTGGAAAATAAAAGTTTCTGTACATTTTTTATTTGCGACTAGGCACTTCTGTTCATCGATCTTCTTAGGTGTATTATGAACATTCTTTCGTAAACTGTGTTTTGTACATACTTTAGGCATATTATACTAGTCGTTTCTAATACAAATGTATGAATTAATGATATCGAATAACATAATCATGGCATTTAAGATTGAATGTCTAATAAGCATTAAAACAGACGTATATTTCAACTCGTCTTATAAATTTATCATGTTATGTAGTTTTTGATGTTTCGTAAATCATATCATATGATAGTCTAAGCGTTATTGAGTAGTAAAGAGCCGCCAGTTCAACCAGTTTGGAAGTTAGACGGCTCTGTTGTTACACAAATAATACAATTGAATATTTACATCGCAAACTGTAACCACAGCATTCAAACCGACCCCGTTTTTGATGTGCCGTCGTTGAAGTATCTCCCGATAGACCAGAAGATACAATTGTATGAACTCGAGTATGCTTTGATGTACATTCATATGCCTAATCGTGCTAATGAGTTTTACACAAGTCTCGGCTGTGCGCCAATGCTACCCGTGGGTGGCGCGGAGTTTCAAACGAACAAGATTGTATCGGGTTTAACGCAGTAGCAGCGAAGATTGTCCGCAAAAATATCGCGTAACTGATGCCTGTTAAGACATAAATTACATGTTAGACGTGTCAAATTAAATAAGGCGATATAATGTAACGTAAGAAGGATGCGATTCTTTTACAAAGCCTCGTGTTGTAGAATTGAGGATCAAAATATTATTTTCATACAATATCAAACTATTTGTGGGAAGGTTTCGGCTAAGTGTTTTGGTAATCTGGTAACAATGCGTACATTTACATGAATACAGAAGAACATCAGTCACCACCAAGTTCACCAAGTTAGTCAATAGAATTAAAACCAACTTGAAATACAATAAAAAAAAACAGGACTATTAAAGAACGTAGGCTTAAGTATATTTTGATTTCAAAATTTGTGTGATATCAAAAATAATACATGGATTTTTCTACGCGCGGTTGTTAGCGGTAAATTTTGAATGTATTTTTTGGCAGAAAATATCGGAACATTCATAAAAACTAATTTTATGAACTTTGACGACTATCGGTACTATTTGCGATTAATGTTAGCACTTAGTCGATTTACATTACATAGTTGTGAGTTGTGAACGTCTTAATAAATCTCCCCGTCCTTCCAGTATTGCCAAATACGCCATCTCGCGACTGTCGTTTTTGATATATTATGTTTTCTTATTTCATATGGCCAATTAATAGGAATTCATCAATATGGAAAATATATCATTTTGATTTACTTTGAACCAGAAACTGGAAGAGTCGTTTTGTTAACGACTGAAACGTGGTTTTACTTTTATTCAGTCTTACAAACAGGCTAAATATTCATCTGTCGGAAAAACGTATATTTTTACATAAACCATTCTGGGAATTCATCTTAAAATGGTTAATAACATCCTTCATAAAAACAACATGTCCAAACAGCTAGTTTCAGTGCTGTTTTCGTTGTAATGTACATTTACGCTCAGTATAAACTAATCCATTTACGGCACTTGGGCAAATGGATCCTATATGTGCTGTAAAATCTATATTTGGATAGGTTATAAAAACCTTGTGACGAGAATAAAATCGTGATGAAATCATTTAAAAGATATTTATTCAAATGAAAATTTTGATTTGGAATAAAATTTTAAATTCAGTTCCACTTCACCCTCCAACTCACGCCACAAGTCGTTCTAATGTTGAACTAGCGGTGTGTCGGCAGTCTTCTCTCCCTCGTGGAGCTGAGACTCCCATAACTGAATCTTTCTTTCACCTTTGTATGACTACACGAGTTATCACTGGAATTGATTGAATATGACCCTGAATCGTGTCTCGTGACATTGGTTCTGAAATTGAGTTTTAATAATTCAGTTCAATACGACCAAACAAGAAAAAGCTAATAAGTCACTCTCTAATTTGGATCTTACAGAGATGAAAGATCGGCGCAATGATTGTATCCCCGAGTTATATAAATATTCAAATAAGACATAACACTTACTTTCAATACATACTTATATTTTAACTATATATATTCATCAGTTTTTGAGAAAAACAAAGAAAATATTTGGGTTTTCTAAATTTTACAAGATTTGCATACATCTGTGAGATTAGCATGTTTTTTTTGCGTGTTTCATTTTCTTTCGCGTTCTAATCTCCAAGGTGAAAATTTATGATTAAATTCTTCTAATTAGACTGTATAAATTGAATTAATTAAATTTGTTATGTACACAGCTGGCTGATTATAGCTGAGAAGCATTAACCGTGATGGCATCGTTATGCTACGTTCGTTAAGACAGGCTTATCCATGAAAATATAAACAATATGCCTTTTTTGAATTTCCAAAAGGATCAAAAGGAGAAAAATATTAGTAAAGCTATGCATGATTTGAATATGCCAAACGCCAATGCCAATCTATTTAGCAATAAAATCAAATCTCAAAGGTACACCAAATGAAATATTTGTTTCTCATATAACTTTGTGTACGCTAATCATATGAATTCTTTTTCGATTGTTTTTGTTTCGTATCGAGACCGCTTATTGCGTTGTTGAAGTTGTAGACATTTAGCATTTCTTAGAAATTGTGGGTTGGTTTGCGTCGAATGAAACGTGAAAGCGTGACAACGAGTTAATAATGGAATTGCCGTTGATTTACGCACGTTGTTACGCAAGTTCGAACGAAACTCCCTTATCACGAATAAACATAGGAATTTAGGGCTATAAATTTGATGTCAAGGAATTACGTTGTTTTTACAATAAGATAATCATATTATCTCTTCCAATTCAACATAAAACTTCTTATTAATTAAGGCGTGGAAATTGAAAATGAATTGGGAACGTACGCTTCTATAGAAACGGAAGCGAAACCGTTCCGCTGCGACGAATATAACTAGTCTTGAAATTTTTTCGTTATTTATATAATATATTATCTGGTAATTAATGAATTCAAATACTAAATACTATTTTTGGCACATTCCAATGAATAGGATAATTCGATTATCTATTACTAAGCGTATTATAAAAATATAACATATAGGAATGGTGTTGACTAATCGGCGATAGTATACCTTACTGCTGCCTTTGATCGCTGTTTCTGTGACATAAAAACAAACTCAGACAAAGCATTAATACGCAGGTATTACTGGTCTTGCTACATTGCATGTAAGATCATTTAAGTTGATATGAATAAAATTTGAGGCGTGAAACGGGATAAAGATATGAAACGAGTCATGACCTCTGTTTAGATAACGGGTTTCTCCCAATTCTGCACAACTGCTCGTTCTTTCGTGTTCAAGACTATAGATTACGCATATGAAAACAAATACAGCTTAAATATTGCTTTATCCAATTAAAGTGTCCTGCTGCATACTAACACAAATCTATTTCTGTAACGTTTTGTCCGACTTCCTCAGACAAGCAGTTTACAACCAAATATTGCTGTTGAAATCAGGGTCAGAATTGATGGTTTTATATCCGGCAACAGTCAAGATCCTTTTGTATATATACTATTTTTCTTACGATTACAGGACAACAAGTAAATGAGATTTAAGCACAAACTTTATATGTTTATAAGGCGACCCAGTAGCCCCACACGTAAGAGTCACTCAAATGGCGATAATATACATCATCATCGCTATTCCTAATTATAATTAATAATGTGAAAAAATGAACATTTGTGCGCGAAAAAACCTTGATAAACTTCTTTACCCCTATCCAGACATCGTATATATTAATTTTTCCCCCAATATATTAGTATTTTATATCCCGCCCACACTTCGAAAATTGTTGGAGGAGGCACATAAGGAAGGCCCTTTCGTGGCAAATTGTAACTTACATCTCACAACTCTCATAAGCTTTTCAATTATTAAGTAGACCAAGATATTGTACCATGTCTAATATCATCACATCCGACGGTCGCCGAGAAAAAACTGGGAATACCTGATGAGTTATCCTTTCTTATCGTTGTTGTTTTTTTTTCTACAATTTTTCTGATTGAGTAGCATGTTTTGAGAAACATATCAATACAAAATTTAAAAGATGCAAAAATAAGATTTTCGCACATATTAAATGTAATACTGTATTATTTTCCTGGATTTTGCAGACTTTTTTTTTAATATTTTTTTTATACCAACTATTCTTAAATTTCCAGGTTATTCGGAACAAAATGCAACAAGTGTGGCCTGGGATTCACTAAAAATGATTTTGTAATGCGAGCTAGAAACAAGATTTATCACATAGAATGCTTCAGGTGTATCGCATGTAATAGACAACTCATCCCTGGAGACGAATTTGCGCTTGGAGACGAGGGACTCTTTTGCAAAGCGGATCACGTCGAACGGTCTGTGCTTCATACCGACATGTTAGGTATGAATGATTAGTAATATTGTGAAAATTTTCCGCAGTGTACTTTTCCTCATATGTTTCTTTGTGTAGGCTACTCCAATGCTAATGTGAATTGTATCTAGTCGCCTTCTTAAATTATTCCTATAAATATTGTAACGTGATTAATATCAATATATATTAAACGAATATAATATTCATTTGAAAATTTATAACGACATTTTAAGTCAGTTCAGTTCTCAGCAATTTTGCTGAGAATATTTTATGTGGAAAAAATTCTGATGAAAATACATACATATAATTGAAAACCAGAACATATATCACTATATATTTCACAAAATATGTTTTCCACCATGTTCAATTCTCTCCGAAATTGTTTTGTTATTTCATTAATACGATCGAATGAAATTACCTCATCCAAGCTTATCTTAATTGCTAGTGTTTTTGTCGTAGTCACATATATATATGAAGATAATTTTCTAATTCCGGCCGATGTTTCCAAAATTTATATCTGAGTATCTGACCTTTGCCAGTCTGAGATTGGTATTGTATAAACTATAAATCATTCTATCGGAAATCCAAAATTTGTTTCCGATGTGAGTCAACTTCACACGTTCCCACAAAGGAAGGTCATGTTGCTGATGGGGTTATGACACAATGTCAATCAAACGAAACGGGAACGGAGCTAGGTGACAACAATATTAATAAAACATCATCGCGCACCATATGCTAGAATCAGATAAGACATTTGGTCTACTTGAGCCCAGGCTAAAATAACAATAAGCCAGAGAATCAAATTAACGGCTAAGTAAAATAGTTGAAAGATTCAATTTAGGTCTAATTTTAAAGATTTAAAACTGCCCGAGTCTGCAAAAAATGAACGATGTGGCATACCTGTGTGACAGTTTTGATTATTGCATATTTCGCAAGTAACATGAACCCATAAATACCGAGTTGGCATGGTATCGTATTTACCTCAAGCTAGAAATGATTATTGAATTTGTTTGAAATGTACCTTTGCGTAGATATTTTATTATCTCGATATTATTGTGTTATTATTACATAAGCATTATTACTTCACAGGTCTTCAAGGAGACCCACATATGACACCCGGTCTATCACCCATGGGCATGCAAAACGGTGGTGTTTTGAGTCCAGTAATGGGAGGAGTCGTACCGCCGGGGCACATGGGAAACGGCACTCCTGGTGGAAGTTCAGCATCTTCGGGAGGTTCATCAGCGGGTGGAAGGCGTTCACATAAAGATCCAAAGACGACACGAGTCAGGACAGTTTTAAATGAAAAGCAACTTCATACATTGCGCACTTGTTACGCGGCTAATCCGCGCCCGGACGCTCTTATGAAAGAACAATTAGTCGAAATGACTGGACTTTCTCCTCGCGTAATAAGAGTTTGGTTTCAAAACAAAAGGTGCAAAGATAAAAAACGAGCGATTGCCATGAAACAAATGCAAGATCAACACCAAAATCCACATCAACATCAAGACGGCGACCAGGTAGGTTTCAATTAATTTATTTGTGAATTGGTTTCACGGAATCGTACGATTGTTTGAGAGTTAATATTGAAAAACTCTAATACAACCAAATATCCCGAAGAGGAATATTTTATTTTGAAGGAAATGACATTTGGTTACTGATTCATGCAAATATATTAGAAATATGTAAACCTAAATTAGGGGCGCTCGGTTCATCACACAATATTCCAAAACCCTTGTAAAATATATGCTTGAGAGATTATGGATATCATAACTTACTATGGCCTTGCTGTAGTATATTCCTGTTTTCAATTAAACATGGATGGTGGCATATTAACCAGTAAACAGCCCGAGTATATTTTTTAAAACATCATCTAAAAATCAAAGAGTCTTCTTAAATTTTAACATAAAAAGATAAATTAACATTAAATATTTAAATAAACATTTTTGGTCGAAACTGACAACCGATCATAATTGATGTTATATTTACAAACCGTCTTGATGAACCCCAAGAAATGATTAAATTATTCATAATTTTATTGAGAGGTTTCCAATTCTTTCATCAGATCGAAGTAAGTATGCTTCTGATATAGTAATCCTTGCATACCAGCAGCATAAAAATATAGATATGATTGTGCTATTCGGAGTTGTCTGGCGATTTGTTTTTATTAGTACATGTACATTTATGTTTCCATTTTATTCGTTCGAATTTATTGGCAGATTATATTTTAGATCTTTACAGAATTCTCCATATATTTTCCACACGGCAAAAATACAATAAACATGCATTTAAAAACAAACTAAACTGATGACATTTTGTGATGATTTGTTGATTCCGGTCGCTTACATCCTACTTTCCTAAAAAGTATTCGGTCAACATATATTCAACAAAATGGCATAGTGATAACGTTAATCCAATCAACGTATAACCAAATAACCAATATAGCATATTGATTACAAGAAAAATGTTACGGATGTCAAAACAACATTTGACGTTAAAAAAGATACTACCAATAAAAATAACTATAATTTACAAATATAAATTATATCATAACAATTTATTCGCCAATACCACATCACGTCGCGTCACCCCAATCAGCCGTGCGTGAAGCAAGCCCGCTTTATGCCTACAGATAAGGATTGTCATGCATATTTTATGATAAACTCCATCGCCTCGTGTCAATAAAACGCGCTGTTGCCTTGTTGGCAATAAGCCTAAATATCCTGCGCACACAGATGTGTTTTAACAAGGAATCTTATACCTAGAGATATAGCTGTAGGCTATTCACCTCTAATTTCCATAAGGCACGAATACTTTTATTCGGAGGGTTTGTTTTCATATGAATTTTTTTTTTCATTTTTATTCCACATTTTGGAATATACAAAATGTAACTTTATACTTTTCTGTTATTGTGCCCCCTAACATTGTGGAAGTTTTGTTTAGAGTCATAATCTGGGACGAGCAGTTTTGGGTTTGCTTATGATGGATATAATGAAAAATGTACGTTTACAAAACTAGTCGGCTGGTTTTTTAAAGCACAATCATATTTTTATCAAAGATAGTCCAAACTATTGCATACGCCGATTTAGATCTAGTTTCTACTTTGGGATTCATATACTTCTCTAAGTTTGGGACAAGTTATGGTTTTGGGCCTGTAATGTCCAAATACAAGTTAAAATTTCTAACGGGTATGTACGTGTAAAACTATGTCCAAAATCAAACATATGTTGTACCATATACACATACAATAATTTATGGTTATATAACCCCAATCGCCAACTGAATAACCTCCCCCGTGGAGAGCATACTGGGCTACTTTATTACATTTCGTTTCGAATGAAAAAATCACAAGCCACCGCTCAACATAAATTACGTTCAGAAACAGTGTATGATTACAATTATTTTTGGTCGGTCAACTCAACATGTTACAGGTCGTGAGGTGCCTTTGTGCAAACTAAATAATGCTGGAAATTGATAAGACTGATATATTTGTTCAAGTATGAACACGTAAACGGATACTTGCGTATTCACACCCCTTGCTCGGTCTATAAATTTTCTCCCGGTAAAATTATCACATTCAAACTATTGCTCCTTAAGTCATTCTGAATAGTTAAACATTTACAAAGTTGGAGAGGTTTGGAAGTCGTGTGTTGCAACAAAAGTATGCGTTTGGAATTTGTATATTAATTCGTGAAATAAAATGCCTTCAAAGAGCAAAAATGGGATTCCGTTTACGCTTAGTGACAACATTTTACGCGCATGAAGCTTTTTTTTTACGAATTTTCGATGTTTGTTGATTTACAGGTTGTAGGGCAGTGTTTGACTAAAAATATTTGCTTTAATTTGTTCTAGGAAAATTACCGTCTCACGAATAAAATGTGAAAATAAATATTTCCACAAACATATTTTTTCGTGCTTCATTTTGAAAATGCCTTTTCATCCTCCAACGATTTTTATTTTAACTTTTGTCGCCATTTTGGATGCTTCCTATCCGTTTGCATAGTGCAAATGTTTCCGCCATATTTTACAGCCATGATTAAGTTATCAGACATTTCTTACCCAGTCGTTTTTGAAGTACGCCTGCTATATATATATATATATCTATAACTCATATCAATATAAGCCACTATACTAGCGAAGGGAGAACCCAAAATTGTTTTTAATTAATACTCATCGTTAGATCATAGTAATAACGTTGCAACGCAATTCGAAAAAAGTCATGTTCATCGTAATTTTGTGATTTATACTAATATAAATTCATCAAATTTTATTTTCGATAATAATATTTTATACCAACTCCTGTTTTTCCTTGCGTTGTCTAATACATCACGATTGATTGATTTCATAGGTTCATTTATCGCAAATCGAAATATATTTTATTATATTTATTCTTACTGTTTTGGTTACAACCTACGATCGTTTATAAGCACAATGTTTCGGTTTATTAAAAAACAAAAATAGGTCCCTCGCGGGATATATACTGCATACATAAAATCAATCAACAGTTTCGGACGATTTTTGGCGCCGATTTTTTCTCATCGGGCATGGCAGCAACGCTCGATAATATCGACCCTGTCCACATATTTAATCAGGTAATGGCGTAAAAAGAGCGACATGCAATCCGTGCATGAGTCGGCAGGGGAATCAACAAAAGCTAAACCTTTAAAAATAAACTGAAGTTGCTTTCAATGGATTCTTAAAGGGAAAATATGTATCGGCTTTGGAAATTCATTTTTGTTTATTTGCTTTACTCTTTGTGAAGTAATTATAGGTTCGTACTCACGCTGTAAAGTTGATATCCTCAAATTACTTGAATTTATTTGAATTAAAACTGCCAGAGACTGTACAGTTGACGACATTCTAATTTCATTGTCTTATTATTATGTTTTATAGTAAATTAATAAACTCGGTAAGGCAGTATATGCTATTGAATATTCCTAATTGAGGTTGAACTTCTAATGTTGATTTCAGTGATCATTCAATCCATCAATTACTTACTTTCGCTCGTATATCTTCCGGACATTATAGTGTAATTTCTTTTTTTTTTATCAGTTGAAGCTTCCCCGCTTTCTTGAGACCCCAAATATGCTACTAACCCCTGTGGAAATTTGCCTTGAAACACGCTTTAAATATTTGCAACATAGGTGGTGCTGAATCGGAAACTCTCGCGCCATCCAGCGTATTATCAGATTTTGTTGGATTACAGGCTACATAAAATCTAACAACATCACCTAATTGTGCATTGGACTTGGTTTAGCTTTACGTCACTATGTTCTTCTAAAAACATTCAACGCTCAACTGTAAAAAATATTACACTTAAAATATTGCCATCAACACTTATTTCCACATTATAAGCACCTAATATAAACAAATAAATTACAATAATATACAGGTCGTTACATTATCTATAATGTGTGGGCATTTTCCGCATATACCCTTACGCCCCGAAATTTCCGCGTATCACATCAAATCGCCTTGTAACGACTGACATGACACGGCTCGTCGCAATGTGCCTAGTTACGCGTAACGTCAATCAGCAGCCGCGTTCGCGCGATTTTGTTGCGTCAACACGCGAGTCAGTGTAACTAGAAAACCGGCACGTTCGGTAAATTTGAGCAGCGTCTTGGGTCAAAAGTCTTTTCTTTATTCATTTACATTCCCATTATATTCGCAATAGCAACGTTAAGCAATTAGATTGTTGTTCAGTACTAACATTTTGTGTGATAAAATAGGATGGTTTTTTTCTCGCAATTTGGCTTGTTTGCCAATGAATGAACAGCTATTTTGGATGAGATTTACTCTTATGTGCGTTCACCGAATTGAGCCCAGCCAAACAAAACAATCAGCTGGGGATACTCCAAATATGATCCCCTACAGCGAGACGAAATTTGTACTCTTCTCTCTAGTAGGTCTGGCAAATACTTCTTCTAATAACATTTTCGTGTCCAGCACTGGAGGGTTGATACCAGGGGTAATCAATTGAGCGTTTTCACACAAAAACAAAAAATTTAAACGTTTTCGAGATAGGGCCCTGACGTACTTACTGCTCTGTGCAGAAGTTCGCATATAAAAAAAACATACATGATACATTTTTCCAAAAACTATATTACTTTTATCTAATTACTCATTGCAGCGTTTAGTATGTTTACCACAAGTTGAGGCATATCGCATTTATATGATCCTTTTTCAATGCTACACCATTTCTATGGCATAAACGGTTATGAATTTCAGCCGTTAGTCTGAAAGGCATTAGCGTAAACAGCGATAAATTTTAAACACACCGACCTCGGTATCAATGAGAGTCAACATTTCCTTAATCCTACTTAAAATATTGTCTTCACTGACTCAGTCTGATATCACACTAATATGAAATTTGCGTGCCGGTAGTAACGGTTTATGGAAAGTGTTACGTTACTTGTGGGAGACCAAGGTGACTTTACTTCAGCCCCCAGCAATCGTTTCAGAGTGTGTTCTAGATTAAAAGTTAACAATCAAGTATCAAAAGTTGACAGAAATCAACCACTTTCTTGGGAATCTATTTGATATAATCTTACAATCGCTTCGGATTTCGAGTGGAAAATGGGTTGCATGTACTCACACCATTGTCATCAATCATTTTCGTTATTGAAGGGAATTAACGATAATGGACAATTTTGATATAACTGTTACTGCAAATAGCGAATTAGTAAACTAGCTTCAAGTGTATTATCATTTGATGTATAACTTTTTAATTAGTCGGCGGCTTTTTTTGAATACACTCAAAACAGACTCTTGTTTCAGATTATGTCGAACGGAGTGCACGGATTATCTGGCATGCATGGAGTCCCGATGGTTGCTTCTGAACCGGTTAGAAACGACAATGGAGTCAATGCCAAACCGGTAGAAGTCCGGAATTATCAACAGCCAGCGTGGAAGGCGCTCAGCGATTTTGCCTTACAAACTGAAATTGACCAACCTTTTCAACAACTGGTATGTTGAAGTACTTTGAGATTATTTCTATACTGGAGCGTATTAAGACAAGCAAATGAAAAACAGAATAACATTGGTCAAAATTGGTATTCTATTCGATACAGAAGATGAAAATCATGACTGCCGTTCACTAACCTAATCTTTTTTCATTTCTCTTTGATTAAAATGCAGAAAATACAAAATTTATACTATTGTTTATATCAGTAATGTCTGCCTTGCTAACTAGAGTAATTCGTCTTCATTTGTTGATCACGCTCACAGAAACCATTTCAAAAAGGCGTTTTGCAGAACGATACAGATCAAAAAATATTTTAAATTTCTGTCAAATGTACAAATTCAAGGATACACGATACGCATATCATTTCACAGTAGGTATTTTTGCACTCACATGATCCTATTTGCAACACCTGCCGTCCAAAAAATATTTATTCAATTTTATTTATCCGAATAACAAATACACAGTAGCATGAAACAAAACCGATAAAAGTATAAAATTGCATATGAAGCTTCCGATTATACCCGATTGAGAGGTTCAAGTACCAGAAATCGACACCCTTTGTCACTGAAAGTAGGAGATGTAATCTCCCAATTTCAATTAAAACCTGTAAGCATGTAAGGGCTTCTGCAGGTACAAGCCGTGTAGTGTTATTCGGATTAAATATGTGATTATTCGGGCTATGAGCCAGGCATTGATGAGGAGGTCCATAATTATCCATGGGTGATGTTTGGCCGAGAATAAATTCTGTTTCTAGTTTGTATTCTACCCAAGCGTAATCCTTCAATTTTAAATATGGCCATACCCAACCCACATATATATTTTAAGAAAATGATATCATTCCGGTAGACGAGTTAGGAATTTCGACTAATACCGGGGGCATATTTCTGGCTATATGCTTTTAAACGCGCGCTCAAGTCTGACCTATCATATTGCATGAAGCCTTGTGACGTCATTCTGGGTCTATTATGTTACGGCGGTACGCGTTTGTTTTGTCACAATCGTTCCGGTTCGTCTCTGGATTCATTGAAACGCGGTATTCGCTTTTTAGCAACGCAATGGATATGCGATATATTTCTAAATTTTATTCTGAATTTACATCAGCTGAAGTTTAATAGGCGAATTACGGACGTATAGCCTTTCGATATGGCCGCTTTGAAAACAGATGAAACGCGTATCAAAATACACAAAAACGTTTATGAAAACGTCCTTCGGTGGTTATTGCATACTTGATATATACAACAGAAGCTATTATTGTGAAATATACACTCGAGGCCTAAATAATGGCATAAACGTCTTGGGTGGTATATCAAAAAACAACGAAACGCTTTCTATTCTTTGTACGGCTTGGCGACTACCGGTAGGAACACACGATAACCAATGAGCGAGGTGTTATATACCAGCGGTATAACTAACATTTAATTGGTATTTTGACAGCTATAAAGACGCACATTTTAGATATGAATAAATCTGTCAAAAGTTACGGACTATAGTCTATTAAATATGTTTTTTTCCTATTTTCAGGTTAACAACTTTTCCGATCAGGGCCAAGGATCGATGTCTGATTCGTCCGATATCAGCAGTATACCATCGGTGTCGTCAGCTCTGACGTCATGTTCGACGCCGATGACGTCACAGGATATCAACGTATCGGTATGCAGCTAAAATAGAAAATGGAGTGTTCAACTGACGATAAGATTATATGCATATAATCGCCCTTGCGAGGTATATATCTACAAGTATTGTGCCGCGCCGAACAGCATGTAAGATTCCGGCGAAGGCATCCGCAGGCGGGTGATGAAGCTTACAGACCAACCAGAACTAGATGAACTGGATCAAAAGATTCGCTAATTACACCATCAAGTTTAAGTAAACTTGACAACAATAATATCCTTGCTTATTTCACTTTCTTATCTTTTTTTTTACTCTTTATTCCTGTTTATAGCATTATTATTATTATTTGTATCGTATAAAGGTTTTTTTATAATATATTTTATCGCAGTTTCGTTGCGCATTTGTTGGCGTTTTGAAAAATTGATGATTACACCTGAATCCATGTTTTCATATTTCATTTAAAAAATTGAAACTACCGATGGTAATTATGTCATTTGTCTCGACCCTCGTCAATTGAACTGTACTATGATGCCATCTCACTCAAACAAGACACAGCAAGTTGGTTTTCATGAATGCTAGATACAATTCCGATCTTGAATTTAAGCCTAATTCCACCGGATTATCGCGCGATATACATGTTTATATTTCTTTTTTCAAATTAATATTCCTTCACCACAAACCCGCCCACTATACGCCAGGTCTTAAATATGCCACTGATTGTGACCTGGCTTTAGGTATTTCGCATATAAAAATTCAAAAAATACAAATTACTTATAGTTAGTGATAAGATTACTGTTTTATCGGATATTAGGTATTTTAATATTTTTATCTGTTCCGTCCACTAGTACAAATTCATATATTATCACTCTTACACACAAATGTATAAAGAAGCAGTCTATATTCACAGTCCTACAGTTTATAATATTAAATATACAACTTTACACCTAACCAATGCTGCTGAAAAACTGTCATTTTAATTCTCTCGTATTATTTGTTACGCATGACTAATTTATAAATTCGAGAGTTTCTATTTTTAATCGTTCAAAAATAACTTTAAGATATGGGATTCTAATGTTACCGCAGCTTTGTGTTACTTATCTTTATTATTTTTTATTAGTATATTATACTCGATACTATTATTAATATTTACCATTATTATGCTAAGTTTTGCGCATTTTCTTTATCTTATTTAGGTATGATTGAAGCGTTTTTATCTTAATTAATACCGTCCATCACTTGAAGCGAATAATAGTTTTTTATACCCGAATAATAAAATGCTATATTGTATTAAAATTCGATTTCAAGTTTCTCAAATAGTGAAGTTTGCGTCAAAATTCTTTTGTCGGAATATGAACCATTTACTCCCTTTAACTCGTACTGGAATTTTCTCAAATATGAAAAATTGGATGCCAAAATACAATCTAGATGTCAGTTTACTGAAAAACTGAACAATTTTTTATTATAAATGCCTTTATTTAATAATTTGGCTCTTATATTTCTTCTCCGCTGCTCCTGACGACTTTTAATTATTTGGCTATCAGTAACACTTTATGTTTGTTTCGCTCATGGTTTCTACTTGTTCGTGTATAAATTAATTGATTTGGATATAACAAATCACACGTAAAAATCTGCTTTCACTCTCGCACAAGTAACCATTTCAAAAAATATCATTGACGACTTGCACTGAATATACAAAATGATTTACAAATTTTATTTTGGATGGGCAAAGGAAAATGATATTTGTAATGAAATTCTTACCATTTATATAACGTGTTTTCAATTTATGTTAACCACTGATATTAACGCATTGTTTATTTATTTATATTTTTGTGACGTCAGAGTGTGACGTCATGACAAATCGTTGTAATGTGTTGTTGTGGTAGTAGGTCAATCGACCCAAATTTATTATTACTGAAATACATTGCTAAAAACTATAAATACAGGACTTCATTTACAAGTAAGGATACCATTGCAGCACGTAGGCTAATCGTCTAGTTTTCACACCGATTACATTTCAAATTCATAATCAGCAAGCCAAATTTGTCGTAGAAGTTGGGAATCATTTGACAAACACAAAAGATATCATTTCATAATTGTAGGATATTGGTTTGTAGAGGTCAAAGTTCAACAACTTTACGTGTTTAGAATCCATGCATGTCAATGTCAGCAAAGAGAACGACTGCACATCCCCTTTCAATGCCACAAAAATTAATTGTAAGTCGAACAGAAGATTAGAACTATGCTCAAATATATATTGACACGAATGCTAAAGCTAAGCAGTAGTCTATCTTATACTGTACATCACTTTACCGAGTCTTACTGTACGGTACAACCAATGGACTCTGGTGTAGCACGAGAAAGGTCGCAGAACCGCTATAAATGATTTTTATTAATTTTGAAGAGGTCATCACAAAAAATTCCAAATATGAAAGAAACACGAAAATATGTTTTGATAAATAACATTAACGATTCATGAACACAAATTTCAGCTTCTAACGGCATTTATTTTCAAAAAAGTTGATTGTTCATGTGCCGTATACATAACACACACCTTGACTATTAGTATTCGTGTTCTTGCCATCTTTATTTTTGTGAATGACCAATACGATAAATACTAACGTTGTACAAAAATAAATATTACTTAAACTCGTGCCGTATCGTTCGTTATAAATCGAGAGCGAAGTCATATGCTGAGAAGGGGAGTTACGTAAATCATGTTCGTGATTTACAAGACACGACATTTTTATTACCATGAATTGTTTTCGTTTTGCAATTATCCGTTGTTGACAGTTTTGACAAAGTCTTTTTCTTTTACTCAATAGCTTGAAAATTACTAATAGAAGAGATGTTATTAGTCCACTTGAACACAAGACTGGTACGACCAAGACTCTGTATTTAAACTGGTACTGAGAAGTTTTCATGTAAATTTGGACTATAAATGTGGACAATCCAGAATATCTGCCTTCTATAGATAATAAATAACTATTGCCACTAACCTATGAGATACACAATTTTTTCTCATTTAAAATTCAACCAAGATCATATAAATTTGACAATGTCTTTATTAGTTCATTTACAAAAATGTCAGCAAAAATTAACGGGTGCTTCTTGTTGGACATCTATACCAGGATATGTAACTGTGTCATCACTTGGTTATATTTATGACCAAAAAGCTATTTTTAATTTGTTATTTCAGTGATATTGGGATCGTCCAATTACTATATCAATACATCTCTAAATAATATGCGATACTGAGCATATTACAGGAGATTTTATGAGCTTTTAACGTCTTTGCCAACAAGACTCTATCCAACCAGTAGCTGTTATGACCGGATTTTCAGTTCATTTCTTACACTCCCTCGTGGGAGATCATTTTAAGCTGCTTCTCCAAGGTAGTTAGTTAGGCCAGCCGTGTTAACCACCAAGGAAAGACAGTTTATTATGTAGACATGAAACTTTAAGATCGGGAAAAATATTTAAGACATTTCTCATCGGAGCAAGTAAGTTTTTTCTATACACAATCCAAGGTCATCATTCATGTATTACCAGTAAACCTTCCCACGACCCCAAAATAACCTCAACGCCGTTGTAGGCAAACTAATCCCTACAATTGGACTTTGTTGTGGAAGAAAATTTAATAGTGGCAAAATCCGACTTTCAGAAAATTGAAGAAGTTATGCCTGCTCTCACTACTTTTGTTTGCTTTTCGAATTAACACTACTTTTCTCGCTTTAATTTGCACAAGAATGTCTGTATTGAATAGAACAATACATCATGTTGAAACTCAATATATAACAAGTTCGCTGATCAGGGAAAATATATGGCCTGTCAAATTATATAAAATACTTCAAGGTTAAGTGATTCGATGGACGTCGCTATAGCCCATTCGTTGGTGTGTTGTCCTAACTATAATGATATATATAACAGCTTATGATCCTCGGTTCGAGTCGCAAAAAGTCTTTTGTTCATGTCAAGTTCGCCACTTGGTTCAGCGTGTAAGACATTATTAGACAGGGTAAAAAAGTTGAACCGAAAATATTCCATTTTTTAAATCAAACCCTTTGTTTGTAGCAAATTGACACAAAAAAACGAAAATATCGCATGCATCAAATTTTTTGTTTGCATTCCTATTCGAAACTTTTAATTTATATAACTCAAGGTAACAGTTCCGATGGGTCAAAAAATACGCTTAATACAAACAAAAACTAGAGCTGCGTGCAGCTTTAACAGGCTTCCCGCGTAAAAAAAAACGAAGACGCGTTTTGCTCACTGGAGCGTGAAAGCGTGGTCAGTCATGCATAAAATTTGTAATTTATGATGGGGGACTTATTATCTGCATGTGATTTAAATTTCAAGTCTCTAAGTAGTGTCGTTCTCGAGAAGAAGATGAAAATGTAAAATCCTATATTGCTCACTGGAGCGTATCGCCGAGGTCACTCATGCGTATCCTTGACATATCGTATCCGGAACATGGCCATTAATCATTGTTATGAATTTCAACCCAATAGCATGTATCAATTTTGAGAAATCGCAAAAAAACTGAAGACGCGTTTTGCTCACTGGAGCGTGAAAGCGTGGTCAGTCATGCATAAAATTTGCAATTTATGATGGGGGACTTATTATCTGCATGTGATGCAAATTTCAAGTCTCTAAGTAGTATCGTTCTCGAGAAGAAGATGAAAATGTAAAATCCTATATTGTTCACTGGAGCGTATCGCCGAGGTCACTCATGCGTATCCTTGACATATTGTATCCGGAACATGTCCATTAATCATTGTTATGAATTTCAACCCAATAGCATGTATCAATTTTGAGAAATCGCAAAAAAACTGAAGACGCGTTTTGCTCACTGGAGCGTGAAAGCGTGGTCAGTCATGCATAAAATTTGCAATTTATGATGGGGGACTCATTATCTGCATGTGATGTAAATTTCAAGTCTCTAAGTAGTGTCGTTCTCGAGAAGAAGATGAAAATGTAAAATCCTATATTGCTCACTGGAGCGTATCGCCGAGATCACTCATGCGTATCCTTGACATATTGTATCCGGAACATGTCCATTAATCATTGTTATGAATTTCAACCCAATAGCATGTATCAATTTTGAGAAATCGCAAAAAAACTGAAGACGCGTTTTGCTCACTGGAGCGTGAAAGCGTGGTCAGTCATGCATAAAATTTGCCTTTTATTGCTAGCTGAGAACTTCTGCACATTTGAGGTGAATTTCAAGTTTGTAGGACCAATTTGAAAAAAAAATAATAAAAATAAATAATAATAATAAATAAATAATAATAATAATAAATAAATAATAATAATAATAAAACACAGGAATACAATAGGTTCCCTGCTGACAAGCAGCGGGAAGCCTAACTAGAAAGAAAAAACCTTAAAATGGCATTTCACGGTAAAGGGTGACGCGAAAAAGTTGGTTATCGAGCAGCGACACCCGTGATAAAAGTCTAACTTTGATACAGGTTGAATGAAAAGAAGTCGAACAAAAATATGTAAATAAAAAGATTGTTCAAAAATCAAATTCGTTACAAAATAAAGACTCCGGGCACAGGCAGGTACCGGAAGAGTAGCCATGGATTGCAATCACATTAAATAAAACCCAGATCGCCATTCGTTCAAGATAAATATCCTAATACACATTGTATAGAGTTACAGTATGTGAGTATTGTGAACTTGAACTGTTTCCCTCTTAGATACTTTCGCATATCGCCGGGCCATTCGAAAAGTGTATTATATTTAGGTTATAGATTAATCAATAAAGACTTTCTTTTATGATGACCTTTCCTGACCTTGAGCGGCTGCTCGTTTGATGATCAAAATAGAAATGTCATGAAGTCGATGGATTATTGTTTCGTCATAATGCGTATTGACTTTGAATTTGTATAAATTTGTCGACCTATTGCCTGAGTATGCGTGACTGACAATCATGTCAACTTTATTTGCTTTCATTCTTTCTGTTTCACGATTCAATGAAAAAAAGAAATTATGACACAATTAAGATACAAGTGTTTGGTGTGTTAGAGAAATTCGATGTTTCATGAATCTAGTGTCAATCTATATCAATTGGAATCTCTATCATATCTGCTTCTTAGTTTTCGCTTTGTAACCGTATTATCACATATATTTTCAATTTTCGATGATTTTCCATAAAACTAGTTAGATACAGTCTGAGATGCAACACCGTTTTATTCATAATATATATTACGAATTAGCGTTGGAGATTCAAATTTAGTGCTAGAATTCTATAGCTTATAATAAATCTTTAAACTTCGGATCACGGATCACTTTTTGACAAACTTCAAAACCTAGCTCAATAAGAGTGAACAGAAATGAGTAATGATCCTTACTCATGGGTGAGTCAGTGAGGGATTATTTCAAACTCAAATCACGTTTACAGCGACCTCAGAGTCTAAACTTTTATAAATATATATACTGTTACTCAAAAAAAAGGTAAAAATGGGCTTCCAGATTTAAAGGTATGTTTCCTTACGTATAACATAACGTTTTGTTGAAACAGGGTTGCGTAGAAAATTACACATCCCGTGTTCTCAGAATCGCTTCGCGCATACCTAAAATGATTTAAATTGTCACCCCAGTTGAATCTCGGTGCTTGGTGTAAGGTTTTATAATCTATGCTTAGTCAATAGTAACTTGCCCGTCTATTTTAACGTTTTAACCACAATAGATACCGTAGAGGTCGTATCGTTTTACAAGAGATCTAGAAATCGAGTTTCTTTCACACCGCGATCTAATTGTTTCAGTTTATCTCTCATTGTTGCCAAAATTTCACCACGACTTCGTCAGTCTAGTCAGCAATGGATGCGGTGAGATACGGAAATAGGGGACATGGGGAATACCACAATAAGGGAAATCTTACCCAATATGAAACGATCGTTTTATCAATTGTTTAATTTTCTCCCCTAAG